GATTAACCAAAGTCATTGTCTTCCCATGTACTACTCCCTAGGCTATCTTAATTCTTCTTCCTCAAAAGAGTCAAATGCAAAGCATGACCTTGGAAGACAAGGATGCCACCAGAGAAGACCCAGCCAAGGAAGTTAACCTGTAAGAGGTCTTCCTAAAGCAGCTGTTCCTTCATTCTCATTCAGTGAAATACTATCTTACTGAAAAAAAAAAAAAAAAATTTGCACCTTCTCACTTCTTCTAAACTTTAGGAAGGGGAAAGATCAGTCATATGAGGCCAGTGAACACAGGGAGCAATTTTCAGATCTTGTCTTTTATTGCTGCTGAGGACTGATGCTTTCAAGCCATACCTGAAGACACACACAGAATTCATGCACCTGTGTTAACTCATAAGCTGCTTTCTTACAGAAAGGTCTTCTTTTCTCCCTGTGGTTAAGGTATTAAAAAATTCCTGGTCTTGCATCTATCACATTTGCTTGGAACATTTTTGGGGTCTTGAAAAATGCTATATTAACCCTGAGAATGAAGAGAAGACTTCATAAAAATCAGAAGAAGAATACAGAAACCCATCATTATTTTTGAAGTACAGGTCTTTTTTTCCTCTGCAGGAAATCTCTCTCTCTGCAGCTCAAAACCAGCCTCATACTGGGCTTTCATTACAGCTAAATAACTTTACAGCTGATCATATCCACTGGCAAAGAAATTGTAAAGACACACATGGAGGAAACATCATTGGGCCTATTCTGCTGCCACTCCTGGCAGGAGGCATTAAAAGTCTGAAACTTGTTTTTTTTTGAGAATAGTTTAAATGTTGGATTTAATGATCTTGAAGGTCTTTTCTGACCTAAGCAGCTCTTTGATTCTTTGACTTCTCTATAAGAACAGTCATGCAACTGTGAAGGTAATGTACTTTGTCCTGCAGTTTACAATTTTCAGAATTTGATTTTTTCAGAGTTTTAGAATTAAATTGTAATTTAGAAAGGACACCAAGGACTTTCCCAATGCTCATGGCTGTTGGAGATCCTTATTTCTTGTAGTGAATTGTAAATTCCTGTGGGGGCAGAGAGAGAGAGCCTTCTTCAAAGTAGCTGGTGGAACAACAGCAATAAAGTTACTGTGTTGTCAGATTTTTTCAGAGTAAAATCTTACACCAAAATATTTTTTATTCAGGTAACACTGAATAAGCATTTTTAAGATGATCAGTCCTCAGTGCAGCACCCAGTTTATCTAGTCTTGTGTCATGCCAGCTGTCTGAAAAAGTAATGCTATATAAAAGCCACAACAAAGTGACACAGGTGCTCTTTTGTGAGCTGAGAATAGCAGAATATTTATAAACCTGGCATTCCTCAAAAATTATACTTGGTCTTGGTAGTGAAGGTAAGAGCAAACTTCGAGTGTATTTATATCTGAGCACTTCAAGCTGGTTCAGAAACCCTTCTAAAGGTTGAAGGACTTAATCTTTCCCCCTATGCCCCAGAGGTCTTGTTCCAAGCAATTGCCAAAGGATGCCTGCAGCAGAACCTGACCAGAAATGTGGTGTCCGGGATGGCAGGACTCTAGCATTGTCTGCCACTGACCTGTGTGTTTGTCACACACTGCTTTTGATCTGTGCTTAAATAGTCAAGCCAGTTTACAAAGATGCAAATTTCTGAAGCTCTTGCCTTGGAAATATGCATCCTGAAACAAGTGAAACTGGTGGTTGGGTCTGAGTTTTCCAGCTTCAGGACATGCTGTGCAAGGTGTCACTACCTGGGAAACCTGGACCTGTGTGTTCAGGGGATGGGGACCAATGTTTGCTGTCCAGTGCTGCCAGAGCAATGCTTTGGTGAAGGTTGTGGCACTGTACTTTGCTACCTTGGTGGTGGTGAGGCAGGTTGCTGCAGGGATTCCTCCAGGAAGACTGAATTCCTTCAGTTACATAATTGGATCATCAGGCAGCTCGCAGTCCTCATAGGAAAGGCTAAAAAACAAAGCAAACCAAAACTATAGATCACTTTGAAACAAACTTCCACTCAAACATTAGGAATTAATTTCAACACTTGTCCTGAAAGTCTTTTTAAGTGCCTGCCTTATGGACAAAGAGAAACAACAGTAAAAAGGGGATTGTAAGACTTGGGCTGTGCACGTAACAAACGAAAGAATGAAAAAAGGCAAAGGTGCAAAGGTGCAGAGCTGCTACACCAACATTAGTCAGCTCTCCTGAGAGTAAAGTGTCCCATCTTTTTTTCCCCTTCCCTACTGAGGCCAGGAATTCCTCTCAATATACCTGTTGTCATTCACACTTGTGTGCACAGACTGTATTGTTCCACAAGTCAGAGGTGCATTTTTTATTCCCCGAGCATATCCAGACCTGGTTTTCTGGAGACACAAAAAGGTGCTGCACTCGGAACAGTGGTGGTTCTGTGGTGACATTTTAAGGTTCTTCAGCATTTTGCTGAAGGAAACAGCTGCAGAAAAGCTACTCAGCCCCAAAAAAACAGCAGGAGTTGTTTGGGTTGGAAAAACAGCTGTTGCAGATGGTGTCTGCTCTTCTGAAGACCTTTCACAGCCCACACAGCATCACCAGCAGCTGGATCCAGAGCTCTGGCTTTGCCTGGGGTGGATCAAGCTGTTAGCTTGTCTTAACACAGACGTAACATGCAGGGGAACTTGAATCTTTAATCCATTTTCTTGTGGCTTGAGATGTTTCCAGCTGATTGTCTGAAGCAAGGACATCAGTGCAGGGGCTGATGTGTGGCAGTGGCCCTTGAGTGCCAGCTGTGACTGTCATAATGGGGAGCTGAGCATTGTTCTTGTTCTCACCGCAAGCAGTGGCTGATGTTTGATGGTTTACTTTGTGCTCCTCAGTGAATTTGTTTATGATCTGAAGAAACCCAAGCCCTGGGGAAAATCTGAAAGAAAACACTGAATATCATTTCACCATCAGCAACAGGCAGAAGCTTGCAATTAAAATGTACAATTTTTTAATTAAACAGTGATAACAAAGCAAACCAAACCAACCACAACAAATCCCTACAATTAATCTAATGTTTTAACTGCCTTTTGAATGACAACCAAAGCTGTTAATCTTCAGTATGTACGTTACTAAAAAAATAAAATTTCTTACTCCTCCACCCTCCTCTGTTCCTTGCTAAGAAACATTTCTTCCAAGTAGGGAGGGAGGGGTAACAGACCCACTGATAAATCACAGGTTCTTGGCCCATTACCCACCTTCTGCAGAAATGTGTTCTTCTACATTTTATAAGGAAACATGAGTACATCTGCCTGTGTGTACAGCTGCATCTTTCAGCACCAGACAACAGACATGGTAAAAGCAGTGGAGGTCATCCTGAAGTGCCAGGCTGTGCTTGTTTGGCATGCCCTGTTCCACTTCAGTTCACGACAAAGCGATTAAAACATACCCTCATCTCCAGTGTAAAGGGAACCTAATCTGTAGTTGTTAATCGAGTCATTTTCATCAAAAAGCAACTGGGAAAAGAGGGAGGGGGGCATCCTTTTGTTTGTAAATAAGCTACAGCTTCATGGTTGAAAGCATGCTGTTGCTCTTCCAGCATTGACGTTCTACTACTGAAAGCAAGGATGAACTTTCAGTACAATTTTAGTACAATTGGACCCCTTATTCTAGCACAGAGAAAATATCATTCCCCAGAAGGTAAGTGGTGAACACCCCATTACATGGTGCTAAATATTGGTATGAAGGTGGTACAGATTTACCTGAAGAGAATTAAAATCAAAAAATAAAGTGTATTTGGGGAATAATTAAAGATGTACTTATCCCACTTTTCTCTATTGCTTAAAAGCCAACTATGAATTTTTTTTTTTCAGATGAACATGAAGCCACTTACAAAAGGTTCCTTGTCCTTACATGATCTTGGCAGACCCCAATTTATAGTAAAGTATGTACTCTCCCACTGTCCAGTTTCTACAGTTCTATCTGCTATTTCTATCCTCTTGTTAGCTATGAGACAACTTCCTGTTATAAATCTTAATTACAGAGTTTCTAATGTTAAGGTGTAACCTTTTGAGCTCTCAAATCAGATAAAATTATCAAACCACAAATTACATGAACCTCAGCCATAAAATTGTTAATATGATGTTTATGTTATTTGAAACATTTAATAAAACAAAATATTTTAAAGCTATGGTCACTTTGCATTGTTTGGTTTGCTGGAGGAGGAGGTTACTTGCTGGCCTTCGCAGTTGAGCATATCCAGCACATCTGCCCACCTCTGCAGCACAGCTGTTGGTGGAACGGCAGCCCCACCTACAGGAGGGAAACCCAGACTGTAAAGGCTGCGATAGTGAGACTTTTAGCTGCCATACAGAAGACTGGGAGGTCCTGTTGTGATGAGTGTCCTGGTTGGAAACTCACAGGGACAGATCTGTAGTAAAGGAAAATTGGAAGTAACCCAGCCAACTTCCCTGAACAACATCCCATTTGTACCTGACTATATTACTCCAAATTTTTCAGTATAGAGACCTTACCTCATTACGTTAGTTTTCTGTCAAGCAAGAGTAAGTAGAGTCTAGTAATTATCTCTCACTTCCTTGCAATATAGCAGACTTCAGTGAGAGGAAAAGACACAGCATTATCATGACCCTCTGCTTAATGAAAATTATTTCCAATCCTGAAACCCAGGGCAAACATCAAAGATTTAATTTTCATTTTGTTAGCAAATCTTTTCTTAAAATATCGTCTTCCACTTTTTTATATGTAAATGTGATCTTTATGGAGGAGGAAAAAAAAAATTAATTTTCCATTAAGACGTATCAATGAATTACAGCCATCAGCAAGAATGTTTGAATTCTTTGCAAGGAATAGATTTTAAGGTCAACCTGCAGACTTCAATATTTAAACCTTTTCTTCTGACATTCTAATTGTCCAGTATTATCAAGGCAAATAATAAATGAAATAAATGAGGAAAGTTGCATTAATCTTGATTTTTAAAGGGAAGCAAAAATAGGGGCAGAGGAAAATGATAAAGTAGGATAAGTCCTTAGCTGATACACTGTAGGTCACACGACAGAATAAGCACCAGGTCTCAAGGGAATGCATTCCAACCAATTTTCAATTTTCCCCACCTCCCTCAGTTAAGGACAAATGGTGTTCATTAAGAACTGAGCCCACAGGTCCCACTTCATAACTCCCAGGGTTATTTGGCTATGAAATGTGCTGTGGAACAGCAATAAATTGGATTTCTGGACTCATGCCCTACCTATGGAATGGATACCACAGCAAAGGAAGCTGAATTAACCCAGAGCCTGTCCAGAGCCAGTAGAGGGCCACACACACATCTACTTCTCTTGCCACAGGTGCCCTGATGATACAAATTTCTGCAGCTGCCTGCACTGCAGTCTCAGAGGTGACTTGCTCCTTTCAGGGAAGCAGCAGATAACATCCAGCCCTAGATGCAAAAGTACACAGCAAAGAAATGCTTCTTCTATAAAAGAAGATTAGGCAAGAGGGGATCAAGGGAATAGCTCTGGAGCTGCCAATGTGATCCATCTTTTCCCAGTTTTCCCTAAACAGGGTATGAAGAGAGCTTTGTAGAGGACTTTCAAACAGGAATTCCCACCTCTGCTTGTGCCCTGACTTCTCTTATTTCTGATTCAGTTCTCCCTGCAAGCTCCTCCTCTCCAACTGGGACTCATAACCACTCCAGAGAATACAAACTCTTGAGAACCGCTGGCTTAACCTGGGAAAGCTGCTGCAAGAAATGAAACACTGGATTAAACAAATAACACTGGCCAGAGAAATAAGGGCTGGTGAAAATGCCAGCAGAAATGTTTGTAGAAAGAGGCTTTAACTGTATTTGGATCAGTAAATAGGCTAGATTTGAGGCACACAAAGACTGATGTTTTGCTACTGATAACACAGCTCCTTTGCTACTGTCATTTGTCACTGAGTATTTGCTGTGCAAGATGCCCCCAAAATTCAGGCAAGTATTCCAGTGCCTCTGACAGTTAGGTTTTGGCCAGAAACTAATAGAAAATTTATAGTATGGCACAATCTTGCAGAGAGAGGCAGGTGAATTTAAATGTATATCTCTCTTTGCCTCAGGCTTTTAAAAATTGAGACATCGTGGGACTTGAGGAACAAATGAAATATTTACAACTACAGACAGTAAAAACATAATTGTAGAGTAATAAATAAAACTGGCTACTTGAAAGTGTGAACAGCATTAACTTGTTTAACAGTGACTGTGTTTACCGAGTTTAAGGGGAAATTGTGTCCTCTCTTCACAAGCCATGATTATTGAGCATTTTAGCACATTTTGTTACTCCCCTCCCATCTGAGGCTGATGTGACAATTGGTCTGGGAAAAGAGCAATGTCAGCTTTAAGAAACTACTAAATAATGTCCTTTAAGAAACTACTAAATAATGTACTGTCTCCAGCTAGAGAAAGGAAAAAAGAAAAGATTAGGATAGTAAAGATACAGAGTAAATCTGACAAGCCACGTATTTCCCTACTGGTCTGAAATAATGAACAGGAATGACACAGGAGGTGACAAGTAGGTCAGATTATATAAAATAATGTAGCTTAAAAAATAAATTTAAAAAAAAAGCACAGCCAAGCAACAAAGTAACTGGAACATAGAACAGTCCAAAAGCATTCTATATATTACTGACTGGAAGGCAACAGAAAAAGAAACCCCAAAAAATCTGTGTCTTTGCTGGAAAGATTAGCATAAATTATGTAATAAACACTAGACCAGCATCAAAAGGGTAAGAACTCAGAGCAGACAGAGAAAAGGTTACAGAGTACTTACTTTAGATTTTTTAATGTCACCTGTAGGGTGGAGCATGCTGAGGTAGGCTGGTAGATATCCTGGAGAGCTGTCTTGGTTTGAGAAGGCAGGTGTCTGCTAAAGAAGGTAGAAACCTTCCTTGAAATGGAAAAATGTAAACCACCCCACCACACTTTGAATTATTATAATCTTGAAATCAAGGGGCTCTCAGGCAAAGACATGGGAATAGGAATAACAGTTCTTTACTAGGAAAATTAAAATTTAAATGCAGTAGTACAAGAAAACAACAACAACAAAACCCACTGACAGAATACAACCTGACACCCTGTTGTTCAGGGTTGGTAGCAGTCTGATTAAATGGTGGCTGCAGTCCTCCTGGAGTGACAGATGTGCTTCTGTTGAAGCAGTAGTCCTGTAGAAGGGTGTAGTTTTCCTCTAAAGATCTAGTGGTGATGTAGATGGGTCCTGTTTTCCTCTGGGAATACAGTGGAAAAAGGCTGATTACAGTGTTCCAAGTCTCCAATTATATTCAGGTAGGAATGCTTGGCTCCTCCCTCTGGATGGAGCATCTCAAAATGGGATGATGTAATTTTATCAGTCCTGTAATAAGACTTAATGGCCCATTAACAGCTGATATCTCCCTGGAGGGAGGATGGGTCATGGAAGAGATAAAGAACACTGCCCCACCTGGTTTTAACAGATGGTAATAACATACATACTTCTGGTTACATCTTGCATTGCAACCCAAGACAAGAGCTCAGGAAAGATGGACAAGATTGGGGAAGACAGGAAATACAAGAGAACAAGAACATGGGAACTATTTTTAGTGAGTCTGACTTCAGTACAAGAACAATACTCAGCAGTTGAAAAGTTGAAAAGAATAATAGTGGAATTCCAAAGGCAAATTATGTCACATCAAATTTTCTCTTACAATAGAGTGAGAGGCACTGTTAAAAGCAGAGGAGTTGGAGATGGCATACAGTCTGCACTTCTAAAGGTTTTTATCTTACATGATCATTCTCATGAATAAGCTGAGGCAACAACACTATGAAATTAATGCAAAACCTGACAGAAAATCACAATACTTATTTGCAATTCAGTGTTAACCTGGAAAATTATATGATGTGTAATCCCAGATAAAAGGATTCAACAGACTCATTAAGGATGTGAATGCTGGGATAGAGAGTAGGCTCTTTAAAACCAAGACCTAAAGTTGGGAAGAGAGTGAGCAGTGCAGGGAACGGGGCTAGTTAGAACTCAGAATACTCCTCTTAAATTGAAACCTAACTTTCCTACTAAGTTAGTGAAAATGATGTCTTTCAAATTAAAAATACTTGCATGGACATCTAAGATGGACTTGTCTAATTTGAGATACAGTCTTGAAAGGATTTTATATAAATTAATATTATTAGTGTCCCAAACTCAAGAATTTGAAATGATAAAATGCCACAGCAATGTGTTCTAACCTACTCATGTATTACAACAGGACACACTATTTTTGCATGAAGAGGTATTGCTTTCTTTAGTGAACTTGAGGGATGAATGAGAAAACTCTTCACAATCTTCTGTTACCTGGTGGTCTTACAAGCTACCGTGCCACATAGTTAAAGCTCTGCTGGGCCAAGAAAATAATCCATTTCTTAATTAATTTGTCTATGACAGTTACCACTTCAGTATCTATAGGCCAGATTAATTTAGATAGTAGGAATATTAATGCTTTCACCAACTTCCAATATGTTGAAGCTAGTAAATCCAGGCTTCCATTTTTCCCTGCAAGGAAGACTAGACCTTGCTAGAATGCGATTTATTAGGATGCTGCATAAAGGTCTATTGACAATCAACAGCATCTAATGCAACAAGCTCATTCCCATCTACATCATAGACTAGGAAGTCCGGGGAAAATAACCCTGTTTTATTACAAGATACTGGCTGTTACTGTGGATGGGATACCTCTATCCACCAAAGCACACAACTGCAGAAAGGGAAAAGCTCAACCAAAGAGCAGCACCTAAGACCGCCATAAAACAAGGTCACATCATTGAATCACATAATATCCTGAGCTGGGAGGGACCTGCAAGGATCATGGAGCCCAGCTCTTCCCAAACCAAAATTAATCCTGACATATATGGGGAAATGGCCTGAAAACCAGAAGTTAAACAAAATGATCGCCTTGGTTTAGAGCAGCACCAAGGAGTGGCTACTACTGAAAGCACATGGGACTTGAGCCTGTGCCCTCAGCTGCAGGATATCGCTATCAAAGAGTTGCACTATGGCCCTGGTGTGTGCATGAACAGAAAGAAGGTCTGAAAGGAACAGCCATGATCCTACAGGGAAGAAAAGAGCTGGCACAGCGAAGGAGAGCTTCTGGAACTGGAAAATACCTCCACAATCCTTTATTGACAACTGCAACGAGCCAAAAGGACGCAGCTGGAAAGCCAGCACTGGCCCAGAGGTCTTGTTGCTTTAGGAGTTTCTTATCCCTAAGAGTCCCCAGAATCTGTTAATACCCAGATATTTAATGTGCCCTAAACAAATTTAGAGCACCTCTCCTACAAGAAAACACTGAGAGAATTGGGATTGTTCAGCCTGGAGGAGAGAAGCTATGGGGTGACCTCACTGTGGCCTTCCAGTACCTGAAGGGAACCCACAGGAAACATGGAGACACTTGACAAGGGCCTGGAGTGACAGGACAAGGGGCAATGGCTTCACAGTGACAGAGGGCAGGGTTAGATTGGATATTGGGAAGAAATTCTTCCCTGAATGAAAGGGTGGGGAGGCTCTGGCACAGGTTTCCCAGAAAAGCTGTGGATGCCCCATCCCTGGAAGTGTTCCAGGCCATGTGGATGGGGCTCTGAGCAACCTGGGATAGTGAAAGTTGTCCCTGCTCATGGGAGGAGGATTGGAATGAAATGGTCTTTAAGGTCCCTTGCAACTCAAGCCATTCTCTATTTCTCTGATGATGCTCAGCCTCTTGGGCTAGCACTGCACCATCCCCCATCACAAGAGAAGGTTTATGCTCCTCTTTGGAGCCTTTGGAGCTAGATCTGTGTCCTGGGGTGACTGTATGGTCCAGTATCCCCATTGTCTGGTTTTTTGTCCAGAAATGGGTACTGTAGCTTTAAACAAGGAAAAGTGGTAAAATTTTTCACCACCTGTGTTTAAAAAACCACAGCTATAAGGCTTTCAGTTTTTCTTCTTAGCTCTCTTGTTTATTCCCAGCTCTCAGCCCTGCAGCAGGGAAGAGGAAAGAGAGAGCTTTTCCTTCCTTTTAAGCTAGCTTCTTGTTCATTAGCCAGGACAAAAGTTTCCCAGGACTGTGGCTTCTTCTGGCACTATTCAGGTCTTCTCCTGTCTGAGACACCAGACCATGGCCTGGGGGACCCTTGTCCCACAGACACGGCCCAGAGGCTGGCTCCGGACTCGGGGAGACAGAGCCACACCCACAGAATGACTGAATTTGCCATCTCTTCAGAACAGCGAGAGGTTTTATTGTTTAATATAATTCATTTTTTCATGCTTGTGAATACTTTGCTTTGTTAAATAAAGAGGTTTTTTCTGCTCCAAGGAAATCTTTCCAGAACTGGCTGGGAGAATGGCTAGCCAGAATCTGCTTTTTCAGAGGAGACATCTTTTGGATATTTCCATTTTTGTCTCAAACCAAGACAAATATTCTGGTGCCCAATGTGCGGCTTGAGAAAGTGGAAAAAAACCTGTACTAAAAGTATTTTGGTTTTACTTACCCCATATGGGGACAAAGCAGTCAGTAGCCATGCTGCTTGAATTTATAATGTCTCTCTGGCTTGAGGCACTGATGTCTCTCTGGTCCCTAGGCTTGAGATAATAATAATAAAAGAAATTAAAAAAAAAAAATAATAATAGTAAAAAAGTCTCTAGACTTGTTTTCTTACCTACAGATAGCTGCAGTTTTGTCCCTAACATGTAGGTTTTAGAGTAGAGGGGCGCAAATTACAACTGCTGTTTTGCTGGGCAAGATGATAATGATTTACAGGGAATTAACAAAGGTACTGGGGTTTGTTCAAAACTGTTGTTTCTCCATTCTGCCCTGCATCCTAGTTTCCGTAGCCTGTTTTGGGGATTTATCAGAAATTGCACCCAGCTTGTTGGGGGAGGAATAGGGGATGAGGTTTCCCAGCCTTCCATCTCCTTTTTCTCCTTTAAATCTGTTATGTCACCTTTTGAGAATATTCATTTTCCCCTGGAAGCCAAAGATACCACCTTCCTGGTATTCCTGACAATCAGTCAGGATTTTCTCTAGTCCACAGCATTTCCAGCAATAGTCCCTGATCTATTACATCCCTTTCCAGGTCTGGGCAATTACCCTCTGGGATTCAGATCGTGCACCAGGATCAGGCTGGTGCTGTGTCAGCACAGGTTTAGTGGATCACTGCAGTAGCTTCTCTCCGCTCACAGAATTAGTCTGGACAACGTTTTCTACAAGTTTATTTTGCAGAGGTTCCCAAGATACTTTGATAATGGATTTACTATAGCCATCAGGTGAGGTGTTCCCATTTTGTTTCACAGACTAACAAAAACAGTCAGGAGGCTTCTGGTCCTAACTCCTACTCAAGGCAATATGGAATTTCCACTCAATATGGAGTTCAGAAAAGGTTGCTCAGAGGTTTGTCAAGAGAGGTCTTAAAAACTTGGAAGGATGGAGACTTCGATACCTCTCTGACACCATTCTCATACTTTTTGATCATACTGGGAAGATATTAGCTTCGCTGCTTATGGTAGGAACGGCACCAGAGGAATGGGCAGGAACTGACGGCCAGAAGTTCCACCTGAACACGAGGCAGAACATCTTTGTGCCATCAGATTGCACAGAGAGGGTGTGGAGTCTCCCTCACTGGAGCTATTCCAGAACCATCCGGGCGCTATCCTGTGCCGCGTGTTCTGGGATGACGCTGCTTGAGCAGGGGGGTCGGACGATGACCCATTCCGGCCTCACCTCGCCGAGCTGCACTCTCTGCCAGCTCAGCCCCGTCCTTTCCCGGGGATGGAGCCGCGCAGGGCGGCGGAGGAAGAGCTCCCGCCGGATTTCCAGGGGGTGTCGGTGCCGAAGGGCGAACCTGAGGAGCGCCGGGCGCTCCCGCCGCCCGCGGGCTGTGGGGAGCAGCCCTGACCCTCCCCGGCCGGGGCTCGGCCCTAAGCAGGAGCGCTGGGATGGGCCGGGAAGCGCCAGCGGCACCGGGAGCAGCAGCGGGGCCGGGGCCAAGCGAAGG